TATTAGATTTTATATAAATATTGACTACCGATAATCGAAAATAATATTTTGTATCTACAAATCGTATAGGTATGTTTTGTTTAAGATGGAAACGTCACAACGCATTTTGACGCGGATTACTCACTTGCCCACGCAATGAGATGCGGTCAGAACCCATTGATCGGCAATGAGAACTCCGGCACAGTAAAAGATCTGTTCGGGTCCACCGAGAATAGCTGCTAGAAACGGCCAATCGCCAGGTGCTGACTCCACACCACCCACTATTCGTTTTACTCTCGTGTTTCTGTAAACGGGATGTCTGCGGCCGCAAACTGCAGAAAAATCGATCTGTCACGTGTCGCAAAAAACTCTCCGAAAAACTTTAAAAGCAAATTTTTGGATCTCGCGAAGCGAGAAGAGGGAGTGGAGGGGGGAGGGAAGAGAGGAAGAAATATTTCAAATAATTTACCATATCCCGTGCAACTAAGCTTGATCTTAGGATAAGACTCCCGTTCTTTGATGCAGCCTTGAAATAGTTTCAGCAAAGTGGAATTTCTATAATATTTAATACGTATCCCGTCATTCTGTGTCGCGTTCGGCAAACTGGACTCGTTCGAGACCCTGAAGAAATATAATCGACAATTTTTGATACGCATTGCATTTAAATCTCGGAAGAAAGTAATACAAAATCTTGATAATATTAACACAATGCAGAAGTATAATAATATGTCGAAAAAAATTATATATTTTCGTAATGTACATCGCGTACATCTCGTATAAAGATTTATAGAATCACACATGAAAAGATACGGTCTATCGTGTGAGATGGAGATAAATTTGTGTGAACGAAATATCTCGATTTCATTATATAATTTATTAGATTGAGAAAAATAACTTACGTATATCCTATCATGTTGCAAATCTGGTCCGCCGACATTAAATACGAATTCGAGACACATGCTGGCATATATCTGCCCATTTCAGCATGGTATACCTCCAAGCGCCCCTTGCCAATGTCCCCTTGTTTCGGGTTCAATCTCACTGGAAAACGAGAGAAAATATCCATTCCTTTATATCTAAGAATCATAGCCGTTAAATTAAGCATTTACGTTTCTCTTTTTAATTTTTTTGGATATAGCTGGTATATACGATGTTACTGGTACGTTTATTCATTAGTACGATTTTTAATTACGCGATTGCCATATTCGTCGTTAGCGTGTCAATACAATGTCAAAATATTTTATCGCTTGAGAAAATTATAAGACAAAAATAAACAAAAATTATTTCTTCGATCAAAATAAAATTATTTATATTTTTCTTAATAATATAAAACAATTCTTTTGACAACGTAATTTTGCAACAATTATTACTAATTATCCACACGCGTAATTTTTAATTTTATGAAAAATATAGAATAGAGAAGGGATAGAGAAGTTTCCTTACGACAATTTCGCTCGTCCTGCCCCCAAGGACAATCCATAATTCCGTCACAGATATGACTGGCTGACATGCATCTTTTTTCGCCGCAGTAACGCGGTAACGAAGAACTTATGGAGGTATTTTCGGTGGAGGGTCCCATGACTATCTTGCCGAATACAGGCACCGATGCCGATGACACCAAGGACAATGAGCTGGAATTGCATTTCCCGCATCCGGTCTCGTCGCTCTGATCGATGCAATCCACGTGACCGTCGCATCGCCAATCATATGGAATGCATCTTTTTTGATCACATTGAAAACCGCTGGTGCATACTATAAAAAACAAATTGGAACAAAATCATGGAAGCTATGCATGTATTTCCTCCGTGATAGATACTGATTTGCAGTTGCGAATTTCTCTGTTTCATAAATATTAACCAAAGGTCCCCTTCCCTCAGTAGCCGACATGTGTCAATTTTCAGTATGTGTCACATATGTTTAAAATTTAACGGAGACTGTGCCAAAAAATTGTGGAGTAAAATATTTTTAGGAACATCTCGACACGATTTCTTATTATAACATACAAAAAAGATAATAGATTAATTAAATATTTTGATTTAACCACTTTAACCGCGCCTACGCTATGACAAGCATATCAAAAGCGAATTTTCTCACGACGCGCGGAATGTTTTCGTCAAATATAAAATCTGATTATTCTGCATGCATTATTTTCGCAAAATCATTTTTAACATTTAAGAAAAGATTTGTTCATATACTTTAGCATGACAAAAATACTCCACAAAAGCTATCGGCATTTTTGAGATTTTAGCTTCTTCAGAAAGTCGCTAAATTATAAAAGTGTCCCACACAAGATCTCTCTCGCATGTCAAAGTGTCTGAACTATCTTACATTACATTCTCGCGCGGAGAGACGTTAACATTATCGACATTCCCCGCCATCGTGATATTATATCTTCCACAATATGTCTTCTCATACGATGGACATGATCGACCCCGTGGTCGTAGCTTGGCTCGATACTTTTACACGTCATATATGTACATTGCATAAGAGACGCGTGTACACGTGCACCGAGCGCGACTCAATAAAGCTGCTTGGGCAGATGGGCCGTCATATGATAGTTTAATATGGATTTTGCAATTAAGATTCCATCAGCGGTGACACATGCGATGTAACTCGGGGCAATACAAAATCCGCGATATGCAGCATGTACACAATATGCGGTAACATGCACGCGTGTATGCGAAGTGTCGCTAAACTTCTTTAACAATTATGGCATCAGATGCTGCTTTTACAGTGCTACATGTAATGTATTAGATAATAAAAGCATACTTCAAAAGATTTTCTATTGTATAAATATTTCTATTCTCAAGTTATGTAACAATACGTAAAACGTAATGTCGAGAGAATCTATATTTGCTCGTGAATATTTATTTAGAAAATTCCGCCCGAGATTAAAAATATGATTAAATAAATGCAATTCGTATCGTTAATATAAATTAACGCATTTTACATTCGCACAAAAAAATAACGGACGCAAATTGCGGAATATCGTCAAGAGCGAAAGAGAAGTTCACGCGAAGAGAGGGAAGAGAGAAAAAAAATCAGGAAACAATATCGTCAAAGAATCTTGATAGTTCATTGAACTCGTTCGATCGAGTGGATCCCGTAATTGCAACGCAATTCAATCTTAATTAAGCACGGACGCAAATGGATTTCTCTCTTTATCGGTGGCGCGAATTCGACAATCGTGAATTAAATTCCATCGCACATGAGACGACGAGGCGCCCGAGCACTTCCGATCAATTCCGTTCACCATGTCTGTCACCGCGATTTACGTAATATTTGCTTTAGAAATTGCAGCGTGTGTGCGCGCCCGTGCGCGATCATTTAATTCTCTCCTCTCTCACATCGCAAACCATCCCGCAGCTTTTAAACATCGCTATCGCGTTCGTTATGCGTATGACGTGTACGTGACTATTTTTTAAATTCAATGAACGATATTGTTTTGAAAAGTTTTAGAATATTGCATATCTCTTGTATCGTCAAACATCTGTGCCATGATATCTTCAACAAATTAAAACTACAGTATAAAACTACTATATATTAGGTCTACCGGAAAGTTCTGTCCGTTTTTGGAATAAAACAAAAAACAAATTTTTCATTTTTTAATTTTTTGCCCCTCAAAAAATTTTGTAAGGACAAAAACAAGTGATAGTCGGAGGGTGCTAAGTCCGGGGAATATGGTGGATGCGACAGAATTTTCCAGCCTAGTTCTGCAATTTTTTGACGAGTATCCAAAGCAGCATGTGGCCTGGCATTATCATGATGCGGTATGATGTTCTTCCTATTGAACATCGGCGGCCTCTTTTCTTGGACTGCTGTATTTAAATTATCCAGTTGCTGACAATACTTCTCCGAATAATGGCAATTACATTATTTAATAAAGTTTATTGACGGTAATAAAAATTTGTATTTTGTTTTATTCCAAAAACGGACAGAACTTTCCGGTAGACCTGATAATATATTTTTGAAAGCCGACGCTTAAAAGCGATGTTTCAGAAATTTTGAAACATAAGCGGATGTATTACTGAAATGCACAGCGTCAAATAATTATTAATTTTTGACATAAAAGCAGAAAACGCGCTATTATTTAATCTTTACACTGTATGTATTTAACGAATTCTTCATTATGTGTATGAGTGTGTATTGTACGTATTAAAATCATCATTTGGAATAAAAATAGAGATGGCAAGGAACGGACAAGAATCTTTAGTATAAATATTAACGTGTAGTAATTAATCCGTGCGGAAACATAGACCGATAATCAATAATTATAGTCGCTCTATTCGCATAATCCAGTATAAAAATCGGAACTTGGGAGATTTATCGTATCCCGCGAACGCTCCTTATCTCGGTCTGGCGTTCCGAAATTTCCTAACATAAGCTAAATAATCCGCGCGGACTGCTGACCTAATTACTCCACGCGGACTCGATCGATAGCCAATGATCATAGTCGTTTCGATTCTTAATCCAATAGAAAACTCGGATTTATCACTTCGCGAATCATGTCGCGTCTTGTTGGCGTTCCGGGCTCTCTTTTCGCATCCTTCTCGCACTCTCACACATTGCATCCTTCTCGCGTTATCTTATCTGTAATTCCTTCAAAGGCACGCTCGAGCGAGTAGCGCTCGGCTTCCCTGAAACTCGATACGCAGATAAAAACTAAAATGAAATATATCGATATTTCTTTTTCAGCCGTTTAGGTGTCGCATTTCACATTTCACATCCAAAGTGTGAAACAACATGTTTATTTACGTGTTCACCTGTCATCAACTTTCTTATCGCGTCAAGTGATTTATGTCTCAATTTAGTTGAGACTACTCACTCACACAAACTTATTTCATACATTTTAGTTACTTACACACGCGTTTATAATGTCGGTGTAGTTCCGAGCGTTTTCTTCAGACTCAGTTTATTGAAGGCGCGCTTAATACATTATTGATATTTTAAGATTAAAGCAATCAATACCATTTGCATAAGAAGTAAATGTTTTTGCACATTATTTATATTCTTTTAATTCTTAGCTATACAGTGACGTTTAATAATGCATATTAATATTACAATCCACTAAATGATTTCTATTTATTTATAAAGTAAATTTAAATATATCTAACTTCTAATCTAAACTATCTAATCTTCTAAAAAATATTATTCGCAGATTTAAAAAAAACATTCGTAATCTTTAGATAAATAATTCGCAAATAATATTATAACATTTGAGACACAATACTCTCTCAAATAAAATCAGTGGTATCTGGAATCTCGTGTCACTGTTTTAATCAGTGATATTTTCACTAATTCAGCATATTTAGATATATTTCTAATCTAGGCTGCTTTTATCTTTCGGTCGGCATTCGTTTTTATTTCGCGTACACGCAGGAGCGGAAATAAATAATAAAAATAAATTATCAGCAGTCTTTTTATATATTAACATCAATGCCGTTAGAAAACTGAGGATAGCAATAATTTTAACAATAATTATTATATATCAATAATTTTTTCATTATCATTTATTATCATAACATTTCCGTGAATTAAAATTTTCAATTTCTTTTAATTAAAGAAAATAACTGTTGTATATTATAGCAAAAATATGTAATTGATATACTTTATTTTTAAAAAGATAAAATAAATAAATATTTACAAGACTATTCTTCTCTAATTAAATTAATTTTAATACATACGATATCATACAATTTAGCTTGCGTTCGATATAATGCGTCAGATTAAATTTTTATCACTTGAAGAATATCCACGATCAGATCATTCTTTCAATATCCTAAAATCAGCGCTCGTAATTTTAAAGCATACGTTTATAAGCACGTTTTAATGTTATTAAAGCCATAATGAGGAAATTAATTTGTGATACATCACATATATATATATATATACGTATATATCTGTGATATCTTTCAATATCATCAAAAGAATATTAAATCTCTACAGGAATAAAAGTTTCGAGAACGAGTTTAGTTGATCGATCGAACCCAGGGAATTTACGAGAGATAGTTAAACGACAATATAAATAGAACATAAGAGAGAGAGAGAGAGAGAGAGAGAGAGAGAGAGAGAGGGGGGGAAGGGAAGACAAACGCCAAGTATAAAAGCGAATCCGAAATATATATGAAAGGATAGACGGACAATAGATATCGAGTTAGTCAACAATTAGTTCCGTTTTGTGTGTGTGTGTGTTTGTGGATGCAGTCTATATTTAATAACCGCGTGTGAATCGAAATAGAACAAAAGGACGGAAAATACATAAATAATATTGTCTCCTATTGTTTCATACAAAGGCACATGGTGCTCAAAATATTTGATGCAATAGTATGCGTATGTATTATGATAAAAGTGTTTAATTTGACGTTTTAATCTTTCGAAAGCGAAAGATAAATTTTACAAAATAGAAATATAAAAAATATTTATATATTATTAATCTCTCTATTTTATTGATTTCTTTGTACTAATTACTAGGAAAAAATAATGAATTATAAAAATTAATTTTTATCTGTCAAGTGAATAGAATTCTGCAAATATAGTCAAGAATAACGTACGATCGTACTATTTTTAATCTTAGAACTGTCCAAACGCTACTTTTTGAATTCATTATTTGAAAGCATCAAAAGAAAGAAAATAAAAGGTTCATCTGTCATTGAATATATTCTTGGCCGACTACCCTACCGAGATTATTTTAATCCTCGAAGTTTATCAACTTTTTTATCAAGCACCTGCTTTCATTCGATAACTTCGTCTTTATTAAAGATGTAAATGTTCTTTAAAGAGATGATGGAGAAATTCCAGTAATGAAATAATTGAGAAAATAAAATGTCGCTCGAAATATATAATAATATACACACGAATAAACAACGAAAAAGTCGAGAGAAAACATATCGTGTTGATCTATTAGTCCCATTCTGTTTATTATAAAGCAAAGAAGAACTTTTAATTCCTTTTGATTGATCTAGTAGAAAAATACAAGATCTAATTGAACGTTAGAAATAATAGTGAAACGATGGAGTATAAACAATGAAGTGATAAGCTGTGGATTTAGCGTATCGACGTTGAAACTTGAGTATCAAAACCTAACCAAAACTTTTTTGAAATTTATTTTTCACTCACCCGCTTTGTCGGCTCTTCTATTTGCTTCGATCACCTCGTGATATCCGATGCATTCTTGGGGATGCGGTTTCTCTGGGAAGAGATCGCACTCCAGATAATCCGGCAAAGACAAACCGAAAACCTTGAGAAAGAAGCCGCAGCGTCTCTTGGTTTCTGAAATTGATTGAAAAGAAATTTGTTTTCTTGCCGATCTCGAAACTAGAATATCAAGTAGTTATAAGGGTGATGTTCAAAGTTTCAAGAAATATGGCGATTCAGCGAGTATAAAGATTTTACCATACATTTACATTATCGAACAGCGAGAACAAACTTTATTAAAATTTACGTTGCATATATTGCATATATCTCGTTTGTCGGACAAATTTAATATTGATATTTACAAAATCAAAATAAATGTTCTTTATCAATTACAAAAATCGGAAAAATTTTTTTACTGTCACATTATAACACATCGTGAAACGAAATAATTATATAATAGTATATTAAAATAATGTATT